CTGCTAGTCTTCTGAGGTGGGGGAGACCCGAAGCGACACTCTGAGATACAAATACAAAGATGGCGATCCACAAAAACGGAGGACGCTGGCGAAACCCCTCGCTTCTTACGGAGGCGAGGGCCACGTGCAGGTGCGGGCGGGGGCCTCCAAGGCTCCCTCTCTGGAGACCTGCACCTCTTGCTTTCGAAAACAAAACCCTCATCCTCCCAAAGCTGATCAGAAAAAGAAAAGGACGGGAAGGGAGGACAGTGTCACGATGGAAAGTGGAGAGCCCAGCCCCAGGGACAGCGGACCTGGGTCACCAGCAGGCTCCGTGCAGCCCGCGACCCGAGGATCTCGGCAGTGTGGGTGACTGAGGCTGGCGAGACTCTGGGCGGCGGGAGCCGGGCACCCCCACCGCGTGCGCTGCCTGCCCCAGACAGCTTGGGGAATTTAACTGTCTTTCCCATCGACCCTCCGAGGGCTTTACGATCACCTCTGTGATCAGAAGTCCGGAACGGAACGGGGCCCCGAGGGGCACACAGAGAGGTGTGTTGAGATGGGGCACAGAGAAGGGGCCCCTTCGGGGGCAAGGGCCTAACCTCCCGGCTGGTTTCCAGGCAAAGGTCTGCTGCAGCCAGGCGGGAAGTGGGGGGGGTCCGTTACAAATTTAATTTCGAAGCGGAGGGAAGCATGCCCGGCAGGGACGCTGTGTGCCCCAGTTGTGCCGCCTCGATTTCACAGGGGGGGCAGCCGAGTGGCAGCTGCAGACACTAGATCCCAGGCCCAAAGCTCGGCTTCCAGGGCGGGGTGGGGCCCGGGAAACGCCAGGACTCAGATGACTCAAAAGCCACCGGTAACTATAGCTCCTGCCGAAGGGCTGGTGGCGAATGCCGCGACAAAGACAGATGGCCTGCCGGCACGAGGGACACAGGCGTCTTTATAAGGCGAACGGCCGTGCTCTCGGCCTGGATTGGCCGACTCTGTGTGCAGCAAATATTAGGCCAAATAATTGGGGGGGGGCCCAGTTGAGAACAACTGTGACTGTTTTCCAGAAAAACTGTCATGTGAACTTGGGCTCCCAGCAAACTGCCTCCCCAGCCCCAGGGCCAGCCCGCCATGCCGGCTTGCATGCCGGTTTGCAATAGCTCTACTGCCATCTAGCGGCCGGCCGGCTCGGGCTCGGGCTGTTTACCCGAAACTAGAGCAAATCCTCCCCACCCCCAACCCGGCTAGACTCCTGGCGACGCCTGAGGCCCAAGGTCACCTGCCCCATCAGCGGAAGCCCGCCTGGAGCCCACAGGGCCTCAGTGCTGGGGCCAGGCCGTCGACTCTGGGTCAAGAGCACAGCAGAGAGAGCGTGTTAGGGGTCACCTGGGGCTGGAAAGGAGGAGCCCGGAAAAGGGGCTTTGAAACCGGGTCTTACTCTAGACAGCTCTGAGTTTGGTCAGCAAAGGCTCAGGCCAGGTGCCGACCGCCAGGCAGGGCACACGGTCAAGAGGACCTACTGGCTGTGCTGTGCCCCAAACTCCCGTCCGGCGGGGAGGTCAGCCAGGGCCCAGGACACCCTCGCCGGTCCGGGCTGAGACCAAGGCCCCTGCAGCAACTTCCGCCCCCACGGCATCGAGGCACTGACCGCCTCTGCTTTCTGTCCCAACCCCACACCCAGGGCCCAGCGGGCCTGCCTTCGCCCACGGCATGTTCAGGGCGGCTCAAAGCACAGCATGGCTGGTCCCGGAGGAGCTCCCCAGGGCCTGCCCCCACCAGGGGTTCTGTGCTCCAAGCCCCAGCTCCCCAGGGGTTCCACATGGACTAGAACAAAGCGGCAGCCCAGGGCCCCGGGGCCCTGTCCCCGCCCCCAGGCTGCGGTGGGGGTGAGCCTCGCCAGGACTCGGGCCTCCGCAGCCACTCACCAGCTGCACGTAGGCCACCTTGTAGTCTGGTTTCTTCACCCTGATGTTTCTGTGATCCCTCTTCCTGTTGGAACCTGTCGGAAAGTGGGGAGAAAAAACGTCCCCCTCAGCACAGTTTTCAGTCCCACTAATCCAGGAACCCACTTTCTGCAAGGAGGCAAACAGGGACCTATGGTCCGCAGCAGGCAGCCTGGCACGCCCTGGGCCGACAGGCTGGCTCACACGCACAGGCCTCAGCCTACACTCTAAAAACCCAAATGTGTCTAAAATAACTCAAGAAACTAATTTCTCCTTTGTCAGCACAGAGGCTCTCGCAGGCTGACCTCAGCTCAGAATGAAGGTCGTCATATTTACAACTGAGCAACTGTGGGGCGGGGGACAGGGGTCAACAGGAAGGAACAAGAAAGGGCTGGGGCGGTGGGGGGGCGGTGATAAAAAGAGGGCTTTGCTGAACTGACCTCGGGGGCAGAGGGGGAGGTGGGTGGTCGAGTTTGGGGCCAGCCCACCCAAGTTCCAGGCCCGTGCCTCAGTTTCTTCAGATTCCAGGGAGGCTGCAAGGGGGCTGCAGGCCAGTGGCATGGACAGCCTGGCCCATGGGGGAGAGCCTCCACCACCCAGGCTCACCGTGCTGTATCCTGGTCCGCACGGCTGCCACCGGCACGTTGTAAATGCGCTCGAGATAGTTCCTGAGGTCCACTCTGGTCATCCTGGGATAAAAGAGAAAGAAGGGAAGTCTGAACTGGGCCAAGGGAAAAAGCAGCCTGGCCGACAGGATGAGCTGCTGACTGCAGGCCACAGGTGGGGGCCAGCTGGGGACCCAGTCTCACCCCTTGCACCTGGGAGAAGCCGGGGCTGACCCCAGAGGTGCAGCCACTGGTCCCCACCTGGCACCCTCCCACCCCCAATGTGGCAGTCTGCGGTGACAGTGGGGTGGGGGACCAGCCCCCGGGGACACAGTCACTTCCACTCACCCTCCCGCTGGCCACACTCACTGGGGGCCAAGCTGCCAGGAGTAGGTCCCTGAGAGAAGGGACAGTCTCGAGTGCCCCCTGGCTGCCAGGAGCCAGGCCACAACACCAGGCCACAGTGCCAGGCAGGCCCCATCTGCAGTTGCCACCAGCCACCCTGTCCTAACAGGCACGTCCCAGAAATGAGGGCACAGTGGACTAGGTCCCCTCCCCTCTTCAGCCTCTCCTGCCCTTGCCTCTGAAGGCTGAGAACACGACTCCTCAGCTCACACAGGAGCTCGCGCCGACCCCGGGGCGCCTGGCCTAGATGGTCACATCCTAAGGCTTCAGCACGGAGGACAGGGAGGCTGTGTCCCTTCAGTCACTGGGCCTTGGTGAAGGAAATGCTGAGCATGAAGGCTCTGGAGGCCTGGCGAGCAGGCGCAGGGGCCACAGGCCAGTCCCCTGGGAAGGGCAACAGGCTCGATGCGAGAAGTGGAGTCCCAAGCTCTGGGCCCAGCTTCCGGGTGTGGGAAGCCTGGCCCGAGGCTCTGCAAACACCAGGCCTCAGACCGACCACACAAGGCTGCCTTTTCACAGGGAGTTTGTGAACCGGGGTCGGGGGCACCTCCAGGACCCCTGGTGCTCCCCAGCCTGCACCCCTCAGAGGGGAAGGAGGCTTACTCCATGGGGATCCGGAACTGCACAGTATCCTCGGGCTGGGCTGTGCCAGGCCGCACCAGCCGAATGAAGAAGTTGGTGCGAAAGACGCGGAGCTGGGGGTTGCCCAGCTGGTACAGGGGGTACCTGGGAGGGAAGAGGGTCGTGTCAAAAACTCAGAACACAAGGCTCCCAAGGACGCCCCAGCAGGGTCCACAGATCACCTTGCCAGCGAGTTCGGAAGTAAACGGAGCAGCTCCCCGCGCCCCTACCCCACCTCTGTGACCCCTTGGATCACCTGATGTGGGCAGCCGGTTCCCCAGTGCCCGGGGCGGTGTGGGCTGTTGACCCCCAAGGCCGGCCTTTGGAAAGGGCCAGTGAATGATTCATAAAGAGGCCAGCAAAGAGCATGCCCACCCCGCCCCCGTAAACAGTCTCTGAGACACGTGTTTGTTCAAAGTGCCCTTCTGACACGCACGCGGCCCCGGCATGGCTGTGGCCCCCGGGACCGGGCCCCACAAGGGGCTGGCCTTGCCCACCAGCTCCCTGCTGCTCAGGTGAGGTGCAATCGGTCAGAACCAGCTTGCTCTGCACTGGCTCAGCCCCCGAGGCGGGGACAGGGACAGGGTCACCTCCACATCTCTGGTGCTGGGAGCAACAGCTCCTTGACAAGTGTGAAGATCAAAAGATAGAAGGGGGTTGGCGGAGGCAGTGTGTGCAGTTCCCCAGCTACATGCAAGCTGACCGCCCTCCTCCCCAGGCCCCCAAACCCCCTAAAGTGAGCAGAGACATCTAGAAGGTGTGGGGGCCACCACCTGCGGCTCCAACCAACTTGCCACTGCTAACTGGACCCGAGCCCAGGGCTGAACGTGGTGAGCCAGGAGGCCATACTGCCAACTGAACCCAAATGGGCCCCAGGACTGGGGCGAGAAGGTGGTCTGCAGAGTCTACAAGGGGCAAGGGGTCCACTGGGGGCCCAGGGGACGAGGCTTGGTGCAGGATGGGCACACGGGCAGAGGATGGCATGGAGGGTCCCACTCCCACCCTCTCCCCTGATGACTCATCCTTTGAGAGCTGAGCCTATTCCTTTCTAGCACATGGTCCACAGACCTGACTCATGGTAAATTTCTTTCCATCCCCTTCAGAAAAGTCAGCATCTTCCATTATGATGCACCTTTTCAGTTAAAACTCTCAATACAGCTCTCAAAATGCAAGTTTCACACAAACACATCCCGGTTTAGCTGCAGGTCAATTCACGAGCCTAAGCGCGGCACCTGGCCCTGAACCTGGGGAGCCCCAGCACCACGGAAGGGGCTTAGTGAAGCCAAACCCCATGCTGCTCACGACCTCACAAGTCTGGGGAAGTGGGGGTCACGGCAGAGGTCCTGGGTGGGGCACCCCGGAGGAGGACAGGGCTCGGGCACTCTGGCCCGGGCAGGGCACCTGCGGCAGAACCAGTGCTGAGCTGAGTGCCTGGGGAACGTCTGCGAGGTCTCTGGGCGGCCGAGTCAGCGCGTGGCCACTGGCCCCGCAGAACCTCGTGGGGGCACAGCCTTCGCTGCAGGCCGGGGACGGTGAGAGGATGGAAGGGAGGTTCTGGAAGCGCAGGGCTGCCCTCCAGGACCCTGCTTTGTTCTACCCTCAT